ATTGTGTCAGTGTTGTTATGGGAAGTTTTGTTCCAAATTATCAGCCCAGGATAAAGATTTGAATGGATGTAGCACATCGATCAAATTCAAAATGAATTGTGTTGACATGTATTACACAGAACATGGCCTGGGAAATGTAAAGCATCATCACAAGGTTTGAGTAACCTTTCAATCATAATGTTATGGTGTTCATGTTGTTCCTTGTATTCATTGTATTTGCCATACAAACCTAACAGCAGTGGTGCTGCCATTATTGGCAGTTATTTTGAATTAAGAATTTCTGACTTAACTGAACTTCCTATTCTAAGATAAGAAAGGATTTTGTCCTAAATGCAGTTAGAAAAAATATTTCTGTTATACAAACATTTCTATAAGTTATCCTATACTGAGATAAGATAGGATTTCAGACATAGGAAGTTTCTGTAGAAGTTTCGGCAGATATGTAAATTCAATACAGTGTAGAGTAAATGTACTTTGATGGGGGACGGCCCAGAGACCAAACTGAAATCCTTAAACTAAAAACCAGACAATGATGTTGTTGTTGACTCTGTTATCAGAAGACAAATCTTTGACCGCAATAGAGATGGGACAAATGCTGTGGTTGGAACACAGACTGACTGCCTCCACCTGCAAGCCAGTGCCAGACTTTTTCAAACACATGCTGCTTTGTTAGGATCAGCGATCAGTGTTTGTCAGCCGCATTAAATGTTGTTGATGGTGTTGTTTTCAAATGTCCTGCTGATACTTGGTTCTCGCCTACACGTATCCTGGATGCGGATTATTAGGCAGGGTCTCAGGTAACCGATATGTTCCTGGATAAAACGTAAACAAGCATGAAACACCTTATGACACACAAGAGTAGAGGGGACACAGAATCTAATACACTTATGAATAATTTCATCACCAGTTGAATGACCTACTGCTGCAGTGGGATATCTTTTCCTATTCCCTGCCATTGATGAGTTGATGAGTGATTAATACTTTAAAACTCATGACTTATGGCAAGGTAAAGCCAGCCAACAATGAATACTAACATGTGTCCTTTAACTAAATAAAAAGGCCATTTTGATAACAACAAACCAAAAAATGGCTTAAGTGGCCAATTCAACATTTGTTAGGCTGAACAGCTCTCTCAATGGAAAACCAGAGAGCCACAATTCATAGTTGTCAGTCATGAAAACATCCTGGGGCAACTGAGCAGCTCCATCCACAACAGACAGTCAAAAATCTTTGTGGGCTTACAGGTATTAAGTTGGGACTTAAACATGCAAATGAACGCTATTGTTCCAAAACCAGAAAATCGGCTGTACCATGAGCCACAGTCCAGCAAAGTACAGTCACAGCAGCCTGTTGTTTTTAAATTTTATTCTCTGTGGAAGTGTATAGCTGCAATCTGCTAAGAGAGATTATGAATTCATTGCTGGAATGATAAAAAATGGAACATACACACACATAATTCTGGAGAAAAGAAAATGTGAATTTAAAATAAAGCAAATTTAACAGGTGATCAGGGATATTTCCCTTTGTGGTTAGAGACGCCTGCCTGAACAGGAAATATCCAGTTATTTACAGTACTGTAGTTAATCTAAGATTGATTGAACAAATACTGTAATGTGTAAAATAATGCCTTCATCTTTCCCTAAAGTTCTTTTCAGTGTCTCACTTTTTTATTTCTGACTGTTAAACTTTTATTTCTTGCAGAGATTCTTCTTTTGTGAATTTTCTTTTTTAACTTTCTTACATATTAGAACATTTTATGTTTTATGCAAAGTGATTACCTCTGTGTTTGAAAGATACTGCACAAATAAATTTACCTCACCCAACTATTTATTTTTTTCTACCTGGCAATGTTTTACTTTGACTGTGTCTTTTAATTCTTTCCCTCTTTTCTCTCCTTCTTTTCCTCTTTGTCCTCTTGTAATTTTACTATAGAAACTTCAGTGTTTACATCCTGTGTGCCTTTCAAGAAGACCTTGTTTATTCTTGAGAGTGCTGGTGTGAGACTCTCTTACTATCATTCTAGAGGAAATACCATGAGTCGCGTGCCAGTTGCAGAAAACCACAAACCCAAGCTGGGTGGAGAGGGGCATTTTTCATATAAATCATGGAATATGGCTGTGAGTGAGCCATTGCCAGGCGGAGTGAACAGCCATAAATAGATTCCCATTGCGTGTAGTAACAGCTTTGAGCAACACAAAGGCAGACTGTAGTAACCATCGCCTGTTGTATCCCTGAAAAGGGTTCTTATTGCTTTTGTGCATTGCAGAGATAGTGCTATGGTATTACCATGCTGTCAAGTTCAATTCATTAATCCTCAGAAGTGAACCTTTGAATTTATTTTGAATACTTTAAATTCCCTGAATTTTCACTTTAGTCCTCTCCTCAAGGTATGGCAGAAAACTCCCTTAATGAACCCTACTTGAGATGTCAGTGACCGGCAGCTCTGACACACCTTGGTCTTCAACAAAACACGCAAAAAAAATCTTGCTCTGTCTACTTCCATTCCCCAAGATTGCTTACATCACATGACATAAATGGAGCTCACTGGGAAATGTATGTAGTGGTGTGATGCTACATACTAAAATAATGTCAGAGGTAGTTAATGCAGGCTCCTTGAGCAAGAAAGTGTGACAGTACAAAGGCTGCAAGGAGCAAAGACTGATGTGGAATGTAACTAACCTGGAGGCTAAAGTCATATGGGACTAATCGGTTCCAGCGGTGCATAAATTACAAAGGGAGGAACAGTGATGGTCAGCAGCACAGTAAGAAACACTAAAGATAAAAACAGAGAGTGACAGAGAGAAAAAAAATCACATCAGTATGTGTGTAACGTCCCTATTTGGTGTCTTATCAGTGCTGCTGGATGGGTCAAGTCAGGACACAAATTACGCTCCCAGGCTTTGCTGTCTCCTCTCAACTTACACAGTTGAGCTACATCTGTTTCTCTTTAACTCTCTCTCTCTCTACGTCTTTCTCTCTTTGTCTCTCCTCCAACTCCCAAAGTGATGTTATTTCGTAGTGACGTTTGTTGGCACATAAGTAGAGTTTCTTTGATATAGGATGACGTGATGTAGTACAGTGGAGCACAATTGATCATCTGATCAGTGGCATGCACAGGCTTTCTATGGGGCAGGGAGGAAAAAAATGGTACCTCAATGGTGCACTGGAGCAGCACATTAGATGAGCATTTGAGTCAACCACAAACACGTGGGCTTACTAGAGGGGCACTTTGTTCAACCAGAGGGACACTTCGGTCAACCTGAAGTGCCAACCAGGCACTTGGGCTTTCCGATGGAGAAGCTGGAGCAACCAAAATGGCACTTGAGCTGGAGGGTACTTTGGCCAAGCAAAGGGGCATGTGGGAAACTACCAATTTACTTGGGCTTACCAGAGGGGAAATCGGGCAAACCGGAAAAACACTTCGTCTGATTAGAAGGGCATTAGAGTAAACCAGAAGGGCACTTTGGCCAATTTTGGGTTATGTGCTTGTAAACACAGGGCATTTGGGTTGAATGAATACTCATTCCGGGCTCCTGGGCAACGACTTTTGGGTAAAAATTAAGCATGGAACTATCCACAAACAAATCCCTATTAATGATTTATTGTAAAAGACACTTTGGCACTAAGATCTATGCATATCACTTCATCTGATGTTATAGATATTAAGTGTTGGATCCAAAAAAAAAACTTGATAACTGAGTTGCCAAAAACTAATTTATCTTAGATTTGTAATGGTATGTTGCAGTCATGACTTTTCTGTTCAATAATTTGTCATCTCACAAGACTACAAATACAGATATAACAAGCAGTTAAACAACTTAAAAATGTGCCAGATTAACTGATTAACAAATAAAAATAATATGTTAAATTATGCTCAGTCAATTCCCAATGTGCAGCACGCAGGCTCTGCTGATGCTGATGACCACCCATGGGCTCTCTCATTCACGTCGGCACTTCACTAGTTACAGGCCCCATTGCTTGGTGTCTTTTGGGTCCAAAATCTCTCTGAGACTTATTTGTGTCACCCACAGAGCCCTGGAGACACACCTCTAACACCCACACACATACACATTCGTGTTCAGGCTTGCATGATGGCTGGAAAAGATAAGTACAGTAGATACAGTAAGTCTCTCTATTTACATTTTCAACTGGTCCCTTTGAAATATGCTTTGTTATTATTAGTTAGTATTATACAATCAAATCCTTAAGAATGTTATTTTTCAGCCCAATTACACAGGCCAATAGTATCAAGACTGAAAATTCTAAGAAAAGAAATTCTCTTTGTACAGTAAAGCTATGTAGGGCTTTCATTTAAATCACAGACTAATCTGGGAGTGTTATTGAACTAGGACATTGTTTGATCCAGACTGTGGTTTATTCTGTTTGGATGAGCTTTTTGGTCAAATCTAATTATTATTATTATTTACAGGCCAGGAGCGTACTGACCGACTCTACAGTAGTTAGCCCATAGTATGTTTTATTTTAAATGATTAAAAGATTTACAAGACCATAAAACACTTCACAGATGTCCGTTGTTGTTATTGGTAAATACTCTTGTTGTCTGCCTGTGAGCCAGTCCCTCGCTAGAATAGCTGTGTGTTTTCCCTCATTCCCTCAGTTCCCTCATATATACTATATATTACTTTTATATAATTCTGTCATTTCCCCCAAACACTTATATATCAATCAGTTTAACACACTTATTCATGCTTTTCTTATTTTCAGGAATATAATTAGCATATTGAAGCTGAACAAGCACACTGTTAATGGGTAAGTACACTGTAAAAACTGAGACTAGGGTTAATTAATATTTAGTAAATAAATATTAGTAAACTATACATAATAAAAAATACTATGCTCAGTTTGGAATCATGTTGAGCAGAATTTTTTTTTTATATTAATTTAAAAAATTAAATTAAATTAAAACAAATTTAATTATTATTAAAATTATTATTATTACACTTTACTCAATTTAGTTTGAATAAAATCGGTTATGAATCACTAAGTAGAATTTAATTATATTTTATCAGGAAAGTCAAAGATGCAGAAAATGTATTAATTTTAGTCTTTGGTTTTAAGCATCTTACACTTCCGCCCAAGCTGCTTTGCACCACATGGACATCGTCATCTGCCACATTTGTCAGGGACCACCATCTTCTCAAAGGTAAGACGTGTTTCATTCGGTTTAATTATTGCTAGTTAATGAAAATTGTATAACCAAGCTGCTGTAACAGGTTGCAGCTGAACATGCTTTACTGCAGGTTACTAAACATTCCAACTTTACTGTCTGTGTTAAGTCAAAATATACGTTAGTGATTCTAAGTCAGCCTGTGTTCGTTTCAATGTTAGAATTTCATGTATAATATATATATAATGGCCAGCTAATCTACTTTTGCCAATTTTACCAATAACGTCATTTTACTGGCCTTGGCACGAGCTTCCACCCCTCCTCCACCGTAACAAGCTAGCTAGCCTTAGAGACTGCATTAATGTACAAATGTAGTAACTTACTTTCAGAGGTGAGTAACGTTAACGTTAATTACAAATTAAATTTACTGCATTTAGTTTTGTCAGGTAAATTGTACTGAAGAAGCATTTTTTATCGAAGAAGTCGGATGTTTACTTGGCAGCTAAGCTTTTCCCACCTAGAGCTAACACATAATGACAAAGCACAATGACAGTAAACCCTTATATAATATAATGCTAATATTTAATTACTCACTCGAATTCAACACTCAAACAAGGATTTTAAAAGTGTTGTAAGAACAATATGTAAACTTGATATTTGAGGCTTTAGAGCCGGTTTCATTTTTTGTCTTTCCCAGACTTCCAGGCTTCTGAACCGCTTCCACTCTGAGGGCAGAACCATGGGGTTGAGGCTGCAGGCTATCCTACTCAAGGTACCCTTCAATGACTATTATGTTTTCTAATGTCTTATTTTGTAATCAAATCTGCAACTCAGCTCTGTGTACTTGCTGCTTAAAAGAATAGGTCAACATTTTGGGTATTACGTTTATTTGCATTTTCAGAAGATTGTCTGGCACTGTCCAAAGGAACACAAAATGTGCCTTCCAGCACATGTAAAGCTCACATATTAACATGTTATGTCTTGTTTGTTTAATTCATACAAAAGACAGGGTGTAAAATGTTGTGATTTTATGGGGGTGTATGTGCTATCCACTATTTCTTAGCTGGGACCAACACATTCCTGGTAATGGCAGGAAGTGTTTCATTACAGTTGTCCATGAGACAGCACATCAAGGATTCACGTTTTAGGACAGTGGATGATTTTTACACCATGAACTTTAATTATGTTTGTCTGTAATTTTAGGCTCCAAAGAATCCTACAACCTGATCAACTGGAAACTGAACTTTGATACTTTTATTGCACTGACCAAATTGTTTAGATACTTTCGAGTATTGAAAAGTCATTTAGTGCCAAATTTGTAATCTAACGAGTAAACCTCATCGGTGTCAGTGAGCCAATAAGCATGCAGAACGCTTGTACCAAGATATTTTCTGGTTTCTTTACTCCTTTATGAACGTAAACTGAATATCTTTGTATTGTGGAGAAGGAATGCACAAAGTTGACATTTGAGGGCATTACCTTTAGGCTATGGGAACCATTATCAAAGTCAAAGTATTCCCTTCTTCCCAAGAAATGCAATACTAATAGCTCTATTTTATATTTATATAATTTTATATATTTATAATTTGGCCCCTAAGATTACCAACCAAAAGTTTCTTCCTTAGAGCTATTCACAAAGGTGCTGAGAGGCACTTTTACAAAGAGAATGAGGCAACTTATAAAATACAGTAAGTGAAGGAGCAGAGTTGATGCTGATGTTGTGGATGACTTCAAGCTTCAGGAATGAGCTTATAGTGACATAGAGATTGGTTTACAGGTGCCAGCCTGTGTTAATGATTGTAGAAAAAGCTATTCACCAATTCACAAGTTCTGAGAAGAAATTAGCAATGGTTTGTTTGTGAGCTGAATGATTCATTTTACCTGTACCTGGCATAAAAACTTCTGCAAGTGCATTATCTCACATTTCTTTTCCCAAAGTGTTAGAAGCAATTTGGGAGTTGTTCAGTTAGGACATTCTACTTTGGTTGTACAGTCTTAAATACACAATGTTCATGCTATTTCAGGATGCTGATGAAGACAATGTGTCACAGGACCTTGTTCTACAAAGGATGAAAATCATCAAGACTACTACATCAGACGATCCTGACGACACTGATATCATGGTAGAGGGCGGGAAAGTTCTGGCTGCTCTGGGCTTGCTCCATGGTCGTTGGCTTGGCATATGCAGTTAATCTTGCCTATCCCAAGGAACTCAGGTACACGCTTGAAGTTTTCCAGAAACTCCTCCTCAAGCTGGATTATTTAAAACTGTCCCCAGGAGTGAACAGCCTCAAGAATAAGCTACTGTACTAGCTTAAGAAATGGGACCCTCACAGAATGAAATGGAACTATTAAGTCACTGTCAAAACTGTCACATGATGACCCACTCACTGTGAAGGACCTACAAACTGTTACTGAAGGAGACATTCTCTGAGTAATATTTGATGACCGAGTTGAGGTGTTGGTTCTTCTATCAGGAATCCCGCCCACTGTGGAGGAGCTGCAACTTGTTGTAAAGGAGGCCCATTGAATTTCTGAGTTCAGTTTTCAGTATTTTGATTTGGAAATTGGAGATTACTTTACTCTTCATAAAAGTGACCAAAGTAAACATAAAGAGTTTTATTTTGGCATTTTGCACTTGTAAAATAAACACTGAACAAATGGAAACATTTCAGATATAAATGTTTAGAAAAGGTTGCAAAAATTAATATTTAACTGCTGTTCTTTTCATGCATGGTGATCTGTTGAGTAAACTGTGGCAGCAAGAATGCAATGAAAGTCATATTGAGTAGATTACACATAGAAAAATTATGGCAACAAAGTGACATTCAATATAATTGAACAGATTTGTGCTACAATGTGCTAAAATATGAGTTGATCTGATTTATTTTATTTAGTGAATTCAAATCAATTACCACCAAATATTTAGTAAATCTAAATTACTTTTGCCTGGAAACTTAGTAAATATAAATACATTTTCTCGCGAAATTGATTTGGGTTTACTAAATATTTTTTTGCTATATAACACATTAGTTGGCATGCTATTAATAAAATATTGACTAAACTATCCTGCAAAGGTAATGACAAGAATTCACATTTAAAGAGTTCTTTAAGGAAGTTTAATGTTTCACTTAAATCAAAATGCTCTTGAATTGTCTTCCATTCAAATTATGGGCGCAAGCAGATACCAGTTGGAAACAGAGCAGAAATTGTGAAAACACAAATGCAGCAAAGAGTGGGACATATTACTACGTCCTAACACTGCATCTGTGTCCTGACATGGCCCCAGCCGCTTAACCGCATTTTGCCTTCTCGCACCCAGGGGAACATAAGGATCGCATATGCCTTTGGCAGGAGTCCACACCCACATTCCTCAGCTATGTGCTCACAAGTGTCTTCTCTGCCCCCTCTCACCCTCCGTCTCACTTAGCTCTGACACTACAACCTTGGCCCACATTACTGTGTACTGTAAAGAAATACAAACACAATTTTATTTCTTCATACAGGGGGAGGTGAGACATAGATTGTGCCACTTTTTGAACTAAGCTGAGCCTTCCAATTTCTCCTTAGCATGCTACTAGCTATGTGTATTGTGTAGGTTGTCAAGTTTCATGGGATGGGATTCATTTCAGCTACATTACCTAGATACTGATATTTTTACTACAGTGTGAAATTCAGTCCTGTCAGAACAAACAGGAGAAGAAATTATGGTAAAGTGAGAAAAGATCTGAGCACTGGCATGAGTCTAGACTGCAACTTCTTAAGAAGACTTCTTAGCCAGTGCTTTTTATGAGACTAGTCCCCAGTGGCTTTTCGAGTTAAAGGTTATCTTTTACTCACAACTCAAAGTCAAAGACACTGGGGCCAGAGAGGCTGTGCCGTATGCTCTGTGCCGGGGTGACTGGGTTCAGTGGTAGGGGGTGCATGGTGCGGAATGTGGCTGTAAGGAAAAGCCAGGAGGAATCATTATAGGGAAGAAATGAGACGCCAGAACTGGGAGTGCAGCGTAGAGAGTAGAGATTTTTCAGTCTTTTATGAAACAAACCCATGCACATGGCTTAAATCCCCTGTTCTGGGATCCTTTATTCTCCTCAAGTTTGTTTTTTGTGGAATTTAAATAGAAGACGAAAGTGGGGGATATATTTATTTTATTCTGCATTATTTTTTATTACAAACATACTACATTATGTCAACTCCTGCTATACTTTGCTTATAGCCCTCTGCAACTTGCAAACTACTAGATGTCACTAGATTTACTTGACTAGTATGGTCGGTCTTGTAACACTTCATGAGTCACTTTGACCTGGAAATGTCAGTTTGCTTATTAGCTGAGATGAAAATGTGACCTCAGGCCAGACAACCTCAGACAATCATCTCTTGCAAAGACTGATGCCTCCTATTCCAATATACCTAAACTTTATTAGGATACAATACTCAGTGCTAAAGAAGAAAAATATAATACCAGATTAGAATTTTAGGTATAGAATAATTTGTGTACCTAAATCAGTGACTGACTACTCTGGAGCCAGTAATCATTAGTAACTAATATTTTGAAGCCCAGAGCTCTTGCTGGTAGCTAGAGTTTAAAAAATGAGTAGTAGCCATAACTTGTTGATTTATCTGATTATCTAGCCAAATTATACCTCTAGTGATTTTATTGTCATGATTATGCAAAAATGTATTGGAAAACATTATGATTATTTTTGCATTCATAGATTTAAATCAGTTGTTTTTGCCATTCAAGATTCCCTCCTAGCTTATTCTATTCTGAAAAACATTATTTGATCTCACCAACTGATGTTTCAGACAACCATTACTTTGATGTAACAAAATAATGTAATGCTCAATCGATCCACTTAAGTCATGTTTGCGCCAGACCAAAATTACAAGGGGGTGATATTAACTCGGCATGCAACATCTTTCTCATTGTTGAATGAAAATCTGAAACATCTTTAACACAGAAGTACATTTATTCAGGTCTTAATACATTAATATTGAACGAGTTACATATTCTAATTGATTGCAAATCACACAGCACAATTCCAATTTCTTCCTGTATATAAGTTAAATGTAACAGATTTTTATCTTAAAATATGTAATGGGAACTCTTCCTCTTGTTACGAGGGGCACTTAGTTATAAAATGTAAGTAAAAGTGCAATATCTTTCTACTCATAAAATTATAAAAATTGGTCCAGAATCTGCATTCTGAGCAGGACTTCTCTGACACACTAAATAATATTGTGTTTTTCATTTTAAAAATGCAACATATATTTTTTCTGTAATTTGCTTTTTGATGCTATTTTCTAAAAACTGTAACTGTAACAAGAAATACAACATTGTCAGTTTACAAAAGCTTAGCATATTAATCACTGCATCATCTATTTACTAAATAAACTTCATTTTTTTCCCATATAACTATCTGGAACATAGAGTTTTGACAACAACAACACCATAATATCTCACAGCGCTATGTTACAATAAAATATCTCTGTCATAAGTTCAAAGAAAAAGATAATATAACTATAGCAACATAAAATCAATGAATACAATGCATAGATTCAATCATTTAAAAATGTAGAGATATAATTTACTTAGTACAACTCTCTTACTTTTAGAGTGAACCCTGTGACATTGACTACATGGATTCATTACAGTTCATCCTGATTTGAGTGACCGGCACAAATATATATAATTCTGAACATATCACATAATAAAAATGCGAAATATATCACTTTGACTTCAAAGGCAAATGTGGCTATAGTACACTATGGCATGTTTGGGTATAAAAGGCAACACCTGGCACCAAAGCCAAACAGCAGCTTCTTTAGCGGTTTCTCTGCAGGGCCTTTTGAAATGTTAAAAATTTCATTTTATTTTTTTTAAACTTGCCCTGCTCCCTGGCTTGTTTAAAATCTATGTCAGGGGTCTCAGATCATGTGCCTTTACTGGCCTGGAGTATGCAAGTTTTCATTTCAACCAAACCCCAATACTAATTAAAGATCTTCCCACTCCGGTTAGAGGTGAACTCATTACTAGTATTCCATAAATAAAAACCTGCATAATCAGCACCCTTGACAACACATGATCAGATACCCACTGATACATGTGGTTTCTTGATAAACCATAAAATAAACTTTAATGTCAAATAGGCAGTTTTTTAGTTTAGTTTGTTATCTCTAAGCCACTTGGTCTTTCAGTCACCGAACCAGTCGACTTCATGAGAAGCAGTCGTGTTTACAGACACCGTCTTCACAAAGGTAGCCACGATCTTTTACAATATTTGTGACTCTGCTTAATAAGTCACTGACAGGCTGACAAGCTCATTGTTAGTACAGCAATAAGTAGGAAAAGCAAGTCAGAAAATGCAAATATACAAGCTAGATAAGATACTTAACACTTAGTGGCACTTTTCAGGGGCAACTTTAAAAAATAAATAAAATAGACTTGTTATTAAAAAGATTATTGGAGCTATCAAGTCACATGTTACCGTTATATCAAATGTTTATAAAGACAGAGATAGGTAGAGGTAGGAGGGGCAGAGAGAAAGTGGAGTCTCATTAAAAGCAGTAAAAGCTGATCCTATTGACAACATCGGATGGCTCTTTTGGACAAAAGGAATTTAAATCTGTCACACTAACCTTTTGAGACAACGCTGAATAGGGGGACAGGCTGATTACTCACAGTGTCTTTAATGACAATCTCTGGCATGTCTTGGACTCAGCCTTGGTGTGAAAACAACAGTAGCACTGAGAATATCTTTTATCCACCAACCTGCCTTGACCTCTTAACATTCACAGCGCTGCAAAGCATTCAGGAAAGCCTACCAATAACAATCTACAGTCACTCTTTTTTTCTCGACTTCTAAAGAAAAGTGAACTCAGGGAACTAAAAATAAGGAATTCACTGCATTTTTCTTCAAAACTGCTGGATTTGAGTTTCTTCTGGACCGTAGACATTTACAATATAAAACCCTTCAAGCCTGCAGTCAAAAACTACTTTGTTAGGCACAATAAATAGGCCCCTGTGGTATTAAGGTTCAGAGTGACAAATGACTCAGAACAATTCTGATGTCTGAGTGCAGGTTATGCACCAGCATAAATCTATATCAAGCACAAATAATTTAGTCTCAAATATATTCTAAATCTAGGAAACGTCTACTCTATCATTTTAATATACATTCTGAATGTATGTACAAGAAATCAGAAAGTGTATTACCATCTTACAGCCTGTCTGAGAAGAATCCTCAAGCACAGATCTGTTTACTCGAAGTTTGTTTAAAAGAATCTCATCCAGTTTTCTCTGTTAGCTCATTTCTGCTGCCTTGATTTTTGCTTCCGCTCTGTAAACACTATTTACAGCCTTAGAAAATACACTACGAGACCTGATTTTACAAATTGTATGATGACATTATGTACATTCAGGCAATAACAAAGTAAATTATTATATAACATAATCCAAGGATCCATTGAGATGTCTCTCACTTTACATCATGTCAGTCCACAAACCCATGAGCCAGATTACCTTTCCGCATTCTTGTGTAGTGGTAATCAATTATCACTACACTGTAAATACAAAATGTTTGATTGTGGAAACACAGTAAAAAGAATGGTATGAGTTTGTGCACTTCTACAGATTGTGCTGCTGCTGCTGCTGCTGATGAGATGTTGGCATTGTCACTTGCAAAAATCGCAGACACAAAAACT